GGGGGGGGGCTCCCTCCCAAGCCCTCTGCCACTCTCTACCCTCCCCAGGATCCACTCCGGTACTGCAGGGCCAGATGCGGCCAGGGAAACACAGATGGTCCCTTGTGTGCGTTCAGGCAACTCCCTATCTTCTCCCAATGCTCCTGGTCCAGTGCTCTTTCTCCTCCATCAAGCAACTTCCCAAGTCCTCTTCCCCGCCCCTCCTTCACCTTGCACACTCTCATGTAAAAACATTCAGACTCAAAACACACATGTCCTCCTCCAGAGCCTCCATTTCCTGATGCTCTTGATGCAAATCACTAAGCCTGATTTTTCCATCCATAAATGGGGCATAACAACTAAACATGCCCCACAGGGGTGTTACAACAGTTAACGGGGCAATGCATGTAAGCCATATGCTCCCTACAAACAATAGGTACTCAATAAATGTTAACTATTATCCTTATTTTCACACTTCATTTCCTAGTCTGCGGATGAAAGTAAAATGCTTCTGTGACACACCACGGGTCTGTCACCCCATTAAACAGGTGAGGCTCAGAGAGGTTGGCTTCACAGAGAACTGAACCCTGGGCTTCTCAGAGTTGGGAGATGCAGGGCGGTTTCCCCAAGAGGACCTGAAGTGAGGCAGTACCTGGGTGGGGGTGGTAGGGCAAGGGGTCTCCAAAAGAGGAGGTAAAGGTGTGATGAGGAGAGGCGCAGGCCCAGAGTTAGGCCTTATTCCCTTTCTGGGGCCTCTCCTCCACCCTGGGCCCGAACAGCTCTCCATTCACTACCCAATCTGTGCTCCCAGAGCTCACTCCGGGGCCTCAGCAAAATTTATGGAGCACTTTCTCTGCACCAGCCCTGACTCTGAGACACCAGATGGCTGTTCCCTTCCCTGTGTCAGGCCAGAGAGCCCAGCCCCACATCCTGGTCCTCACGCAGCTGTCTCTGGAGGGACTGGGAATAGAAAAGAAGAGAGGAGAGAGAGAGAAAGGGAGAGCAGGCTGAGGCTGGAGCCCAGGAAGTGGGAGGGGAAACAGGAGCAGAGAGACAGACAGGAAAGGGGGAGAATGCTCATCCTCAGCTGGGAGCTTGGGGTCACCTGAGGTGAGCTCGGCAATTTCTGCAGGAGTCCTGCCACCCAGAGCTGGCGCAAAACCCTCTCCCCTCTCCCAGACAAGATTGCTTGTGGCCTCCTGAGACCCTTTTTGCTTTTGCCCCATACCTGGCACCCCACCCCATTTGCAGAGCCTGTACCACTCGGGCTCCCAGTCAGCTCAAAACCAGCCTCAGCCCACACCACTTCCTCCACCCTGGGCTCTGTGCTGGCCACAGCCAAGACTCATCACTTCCTGACTCCACGGCTTATGACGGGCTGGCCCCAGGCCCCACAAGGGGTATGACATGTCCTGGGAGATAAACCTTCATCCAGGGTCTACCCCAACAGCCAAGGGCTTTCTGCTTAGGGGCTCAGCCATCCTTCTCCTTTCCTTAACCTCAGCTGTCTTCCTACACCATGGGTCCAGATCCAAGCTCTTCCCCTCTTTGGCTGCATGGCCTTGGCCTAGTCCCCGATGTCCCCAGCTTCTGTTTCCCCCCATGAAATGGTGGCCATGACACCTAGCTCACAAATTGTTGGGAGAAACACAAATGGCTGTGTGTCACTGCTCAGCACTGCGCTTGGCTCAAGACACATGGGGTGCAGGCTGGCTGCTGGCCTCCTGACTTTCCCAACCCAGGGAGGCCCTGGCTGCCTGCCCCAAGTCTCTGAGGAAACTAGAGCTGGGAGCGAAGCAGAGTGGCCAAGGAATTCTAAAGTCTTAACCCAGCCCCTCTTCCATATCAGAGATGGTGAGGCCAAGGGCTGGGAGTCAGGAATGACTGGTCTTAATGACTGGTCACAGCTAGCACTGTGCCGGTCACTTCATGTTGTTATTAGAAGCCATCTGCCCAGTAGCTACTTGAGAGGGGTGTGTGCTATTTCATAGGCAAGAAGGCTCAAAGTCAAGTAGGTACTGTGGGCATAAAAAGGGCACTGTAATAAATCTAACTAAAAGTAACCTCACAGGGTGATCTGATCATAAATTCCTAACTGGGCAGGTCAAGGTGGGTAGTCATACCCCAGGTCTATAACTTCTTTAATAAAAGTTTCATCTTTGCCTTAAGCCAGCCCTATCCATTGTTTTTTGTGCATCTAGGTTAACACCCCTTTGAAATGCCTCTTTTTCAGACCCCTGGGAAGATAACCACCCTTAAGAGAGAACATAATCTTGTTAACTCTCCCGTAATACAATCCCTGCCTTGCTTTTTCCCACCTACATTTAATCGTCTCTCTTTAATTCCAAATGCATAAAAGAAGCTGCAAAACTGTTATTCTCCAGAGCATTTGAGATATTGTTTCCCAGCACTGTCATTAGTTTGGCTCAAATAAACTCACAAAAATTCTCTACAGGTGTAGACGTTCCTTACATTGACAGTACAAGTAGAAGAAGCACAGTTTGAACTTGAGGTCTGCCCAACTCCCGATCTCGCAGCCTGCACCACTGTCGGAGAACCCTTATGTCCATGTAAGAGGGAAAGGCTGTCTAGGCAGGGCCTGGGGTGGGGACTGGACTGCTGTCTCAGCAGTGCAGGGACCTGCTCTGTGGTCTTGGGCTGGCCCCTTCCTCTCCCTTGCCTCAGTGTGGCACATTGCTTTCTCTGTGCTGGGAGTGGGGACATGGAAGTGAATCAGGCCAGGTGCCTACCAGGTGGTACCTGCTTTTCACCATTTGGGGGTCATGAACCCAGTCTCCTGACTTAGTCTAGCACTCGGCCCTCACCATCACAGGCAGAGAAGGAGGGCAGGCAGGGGACAAGCTTCCCTAACATTCCCATCCAGACAGCCCTGTGATGCCTGCCCTCTGACCTTAGCCGCCACCCCACCCTCAGTCACTCCTGCCTGTTTTGGGGCTGGCTGAATTTGGAGGCTGGCTTCTTTGTTCAGACAAGGAGGGGAGAGGAAAGTTGTTTTTCAGGCAGCAAAGCTTTTAGATAAATACAATTTATCTCTTTCTTCATTCCTTCTTAAAGGAATTGGGTTCCTTCAAAGAAGAAACTAGATTTACCAGCTGATAGTGCCCCAGGGATGAAGTACAGCTCAGTGTCTGGCCTGGGGAGCTGAACACTGAAGAGGGCTTTCTTTATCCAGCTGAGCACCTGCTGCCAGCTCTGGCAGGCCTGTGGCTCAGGTGACTGGGCCCTGGTGCCAGGCCATGGTCATCCCAGCTCCCAGGCTCCTTGCTGGCCTGGCCTACCTCCTTACCCTCCCCTCTAGCCACCCCCACCTGCCTGCCTTCCCATCGGCTTTGCCAGCAAGCTGAGAACTTCTGTTCACCTTGGGGTGACCCCTTCCTCTTGGAGTGCCCCTCCTAAAGCACCCCTCCCTACCCAGAGCTCAGGAGCAGCCCAGCCCCCATGCTGTCAAAGGAGAGTTAACAACTGGCCATGGTGGGGTGACCATGCCTACCTAGTCAGGTAGATTCAAGAATTGCCATAGGCCCATTTTACAGAGGGAGAACTAAAACCCAGAAAAAGCAGTGACCTGTCCAGAGCCATGCAGCAGAATGACAGAGCTGATATCCCTCTCCTCAAACTCTGGGGCTCCCTAAGTCTTTCTGACCCAGTTCCCGCATGGCTCACCGGTGTGGTGTCATCATGCGAGCGCTGGTAGCGTTTCCAGCGGCAGCCGTAGATGCCCGTGAGGCAGGAGAGGCACAGCTGGGGCTCATAGTACTGCAGGGGCTGGTGTCTCACCATGCTCGTACCCGAGGCCCTGGTGCCCAGCCCTCAGGAGCCCATGGAGGCCCCAGGCTGGTCCTGCGGGAGGAAGCACAGGTCCGTGAGGCAGGGGAGGGGTGGGGAGTCACAACCAGACACAGCAAAAGTCAATGGGGCCTAGGTCAGGGTGAGCCAGCTTCTGCACAGAGTTCTGCAGTGAGTCCTAGTCCCACTTGGAATCAGAAGCCTACCCTTGCAGGTCTCCCAGGACAGTCCCCTGCCACCCACCCCTGATCAAATCCACACACACCACCCTCCAGCCACACTTGCCCAGCATACTACTGCTGCTTCCTCTGCCCTGCCTGGAGTGCTCTTCCCGGAGAACCCCGTGTGGTCTCCTTCTCTCGAATGTCCTTGTCTCAATCTGACTTTCCCAGGTCACCTTCTGTAAAACTGCAACTCCTTCCCACGCTCTCTCAGCCATTCTCAGTGTTTTTTCTCGATTATGTTCTCAAATGTAATTTACTTATTTTGTTTCTTGTCTGCCTACCCCATTATAATGTAAGTTTCATAAAGGCAAGGATTTTGTCTGTTTTATTATCTGTTGTATCCCCAACATAACTATAACAGTGCCTTACACATAGACTTTCCAAATAAATATTTTATAATAAATTATCACATGGCTCATAAAGCTGACATGTATCGAGCACTTAAAAATACTCCAGGTACTGTGTGAACACTTTATATTCATTGTTCCATCTCACTGTCACAACCACCAGAAGTGGCAGGTACTATGTTTTAAACCCATTTGATAACTGATTGAACTGAGGTTCAGAGAGAGAAAGGGGCAGGGCCTGGCCTGCCGTCACTGTTGTATACAGTGATTGTTGGAATCAGTCAACTTGAGAACCTGCCCTGGGCTCCAAAGTGTTCATTCCTTCAGGATCAGGGAGACCCAGCACAGGGGGGCCCGTGGGAGATTGGTGGAACAATGATAGAGGTTTGTAGATTGAGTTGCTGCCACCAGGAGCAACTGCCCCAGCCCTGTTTGGTGCCCTGGAGATACCTGCTAGGGCTCAGCCTCTTGGGGCTAGCATTGGCCAAGTGTGGTCACGTGGCATTGGCTTAGGCACCTCACACACCCTGATGTCAGGCATCATCTGACCCTTAACACCACTATTATCTTTGTCCATTTTAATAACAGGAGTTATTAAATGAGGAGCCTGGGGCTCAGAGCAGCAAAATGTTTTGCCCAAGAAGTCAGGGATTGACTTCTCATCTGTGGGACTTCAGAAACTTGAAGCCATTTGTTTTGAACCAGACCCTGTCCTAGGCTTTGGAGACACTGTGAACAGGACAAACACAGTGACCCACAGTGACCTCCTTAGGGCCTTCACAGCTCTAAGGGGCACGACCAGGCCCTTACTATGCACCAGGTACCGTTCCAAGTGCTGTCCATGTACTAACTCTAACAGCAACCTATGGGGTATTATCTTTTCTTTTTTTTTTTAATTGAGAATTAATTCACAATGCATAAAATTCACCCTTTTAAAGTGTATACTTCAGTATTTAGCATATTCGATTTTTAGGATAGTCACAAAGTTGTGCAACCATCACCTCTATCTAATTCCAAAACATTTTCATCATCCTAACAAAAAACTCCATACACAATAGCAATTACTCCCCCATTCACCCACTCCCACCCCCCCAACCCTGAAAACCACACATCTACTTTCTGTCTCTTTGGATATACTTACTCTGGACATTTCATATAAATGAAATCATATAATACATGGCCTTTTGCAACTGGTTTCTTTCACTTAATATAATATTTTCAAGGTTCATCCATGTTGTAGCATGAATCAGTACTACATTCTCTTTTAGGGCTGAATAATATTCAATTATATGGATATAGCATTTATCCATTCATCAGTTGACGGACATTTGGGTTGTTATCATTTTGGGGGTGTTACAAATAACACTGCTGTGAACAAGTTTTTGTTGTGAATGTATGTTTTTCATTTCTTTTGGGTTCATACTTTGGGATGGAATTTCTGGGTCATATAGTAGCTCTGTTTAATCTTCTGAAGAATTTCCAAAAGCCATTTTCCAAAGTGGCTGCACCATTTTACAGTCCCAAACTATTGTCATTACCATCCCTATTTTACAGATGAGACATCTAAAGCACAGAAAGGTAGAGCCATTTGCTATAGGTCACACAGCAGAGCCAGGCGGTCTGGCTCCAGGGACCTTGCTGTAACCCAGCAATTGGCAAAATGTTGACTCACGGGCCCTATCTGGCCAGCCAACTATTTCCATATAGCGAGTAGTTTTTACATTTTTAAATGATTGAAGGAAAAAATCAAAACAAGAACACATATGTGACACATAAAAATTACATGAGAGTAAAACTTCAGTGAGACCACAAACTAGTTTCATTGGATGCAGCCAGGCTTATTTATTTGTGTATTGTCTATGGTTGCTTTAACTGTAAGTTTAGAGTTGAGTAGTTACAACAGACCTCTCATGGCCCACACAGCCTAAAATACTTACTGCCTGGACCTTTTACAGCAGGGGTCCCCAACCCCTGGGCCACAGACCAGTACTGGTCCGTGGCCTGTTAGGAAACGGGCCGCACAGCAGGAGGTGAGCGGCAGGTGAGTGAGTGAAGCTTCATCTGTATTTGCAGCTGCTCCCCAGCGCTAGCATCACCACCTCAGTTCCACCTCAGATCACCAGGTATTAGATTCTCATAGGAGCACTGGTCCCTGGTGCCAAAAAGGTTGGGGACCGCTGCCGTACAGGGAGAATTTGCTGACCTCTGAAACTACCAGGCTATTATGGCTTATAAGTGCAACATGTAGTGGAGAGAGTAAAAGGAGACTGTGGGCACTTAACCCATGGCAGGGAGAGTCAGGGCCCGCTTCCTGGAGGCAGCTGAGCTGAGGCCTATAAGGTAAGCTCTAAGATGCCTTTATCTAAATGCCCAGGGGCCGTACCACAGGGGCACACCGGGCTTCAGGTCCGCCCACTACTTCCACCTCTAGGCCTTGTTCACAGCCTCTACCTATCTACTCTCCTCCCCCAAATGCTAACCTCAACACAGGGATTACAGCCTCTGGTCTGAGGGGAAAGATGTATTGGAGCTTGCTGAGAATATCGACTGACCCAGTGCCTCCTAATTGCTGGAAATTGTCTAGTGCAGCCTCTGTGCCCATGGTTCCAGGGGAGCCATGTGGAATATGGTGCAGCTGCTGGGCATTCTCTGAGCCAAGCCGAACCCAGGCCTTAGGGGACAGTAAGGGATGGGGATGCCGCGGCAGCTGGTTTAGCTCCTATGGGGTTAGGAAGACCAGGGGAGCAGGCTTACTCAGCTGTCAGCTTTACTCAGTCAGATTGCACCCTGTGCACCCCTAGATTAGGACCTCTTCTGCTAGGTCGAACATCACTTCTGCCTCTTCCTCCCCAGGCAGGGAAGAGGCAGCTGATATGTAGAAAGAGGCCTGGATTCATCCCATATCAGACACTGACTTGCCCTGTGGCTAAGACCTCTCAGCTCTTCCCTGGGCCTTGCTTTTTGAATCTGTAATATGAGGTAACAGCCTTTGCCTTGACTTTTATAGGAGGCTAGATGAATGGGGCGAGGGGTACCAGGAGGGCACGTGGCTGGTGGGTATTCTGCCAGCAGGAGTCCATGCCCAGGTTCCCCTGCCTTCACATTCCTTTCCCAGGACCCTCAACCCTGCGACTGGTTCCCACATGTCCTCTGCCCTCCACCACTCCCTGCCCCCACAAATGAGCATTACAGCCCATCCAAGAATGGAAATTCCATTTCAAACCTGGAAAAGAGGCCTCAGCCCAAGACTCAGCTGACTGTGGCTCTTGGGACTGCCTCTCCCCAAAGGAATTTTCACACTATTCATAACTTGAGGGGCATCTTTTGGAGGCAACCTTTTTCTC